CCCGCCACAACGCCTGGCCATTTTTTGGTTGCAGCCATCATTATTGTTTGGCGGGTCCAGGCTGGGGATTCGAACCCGCCACCTTAGGTGTACGTGGCTGGCGCCTTAGCCGGTTGAGCCATAGGCACCGAGCCTGTTTTTATTTTTACCTCCAAAGCTTTTTATACTATACCCACTGCATCTGACATGACAGTTTCCCCCTAGACAAGGGATAATCATTATTACAACTGAAAATGTTTGCATCGTAATTTCCCCTTTGATTAAATCAAATAAACTGATTATAGATCTTAATTAAATATGTAAAATCTCAAAAGAAGCCCTCTGAAAACATTTCCAATTTTAACATCTACTTTGTTTAGAAAACAAGGGCCTTTAGAATGTGGTTAAAAATGCTTTTTACTTTAATCTTTTAAAGTCCACAAGCATTCACATATCAGTATTGAGTAGGATGTTAGCATGAAGTGAATTTTACCTAATCCATTTACAGTGATATAAAATTTTGTTTATGTTAAGAAGAACCTTCACTGACCTACACTTAAAATAATTTAGGTAGATCCCTACTTACTGATAAGCAATGATATTCTAAGGTAAAGAACTTAAGGTACTTTTAATTATGTCAAGAATCTTTAAGAAAATTTCTTAGATTCTAACTGCATAGGTAGTAAGGATTTTATGGTTCAGTAGAGGGAAAAGTGACTTTTTCTTTTTTTTTTTTTTTTGAGGCAGAGTCTCATTATGTTGCCCTCAGTAGAGTGCTATAGCATCTTAGCTCATAGCAACCTCCAGCTTTTGGGCTTAAGTGATTCTCTTGCCTCAGCCTCCCAAGCAGCTGGAAACTACAGACACTTGCTACAACGCTTGGCCTTTTTTGGTTGTAGTTGTCATTGTTGTTTGGCATGCCTGGGCTGGTTTTGAACCCACCAGCTCTGGTGTATGTGGCTGGCACCCTAGCCGCTGAGCTACAGGCACTGAGCCGGAAAGTGACACTTTCAATAGAAGGTTTTTTACCCTAATAATTAAAATAACAATCCTTAGCAGACTTTCACAATACTGCAAACAAACAGAACCACACTGCATGGGCGGTTTTGGTTTTAATTACATGGAGCCTTTTCCAGCAGTACTTTTATATAGAGGCTTGATTGAAATAGCAACGTAATTCCTGAGCAGAGAGTTTTTCTTTGCTGTAATTATATTCATGCAGTGACTCATACTCTCTTAATGCCTAGATTTTATAATTCAAAGGAAAATGTTCCCTTGAAATTTGAAAGCCTAGAAGACTCTAAAGTTTTTGTTTTTAAAAAAATTGTTATTACTACTACTGCAACTACTACTCCTCTGAGGAGTGTTTTACTTCAGTGATTTGATTTCGCTCATGCTATCCCCGGTAATGGGGATATTTCCTCACTTGGCGGGGATGGAGAAAGTACATCATATCCCCCAGATATCCAGCATAGGGGTAGGCTGTTCTGGATTTAGGGATGCCAGCAGCAGAAATCTGGGGCCTTTGCTCTAGTGTTTACTACTGTTACAACTCAGTTTAAGTGTCTGGTTACTTTTGACTTTGTTTCTTTTTCCTTCATCAGTCAAAAGATTTTTTTTATTCCTGAATTTAATAGTTCATATTCCAAAGAAAGACAACCTGGGTGGCTCTGCTAGGAAATATAAACTCTGTATGGCAATAATTATGTCCTACTTTGGGGGAAGTTGTTTCAGATTGATAGCAAGGCTGGGAGAGAGTCCTTTGCAAACATCTGGCTAGTACCTGTCCTGTTTTGGGTAAACCCAGGATGTGGTGTGGATGCCGGAGCAATTACCAGTTTTGCCTGAAGCAGGTTTTTACCATACAGCTTTACTAATGATTAGAAGTCTTTGGAAATTTGTGAAATACTTGGTATACTCATGAAGAAAAGACAACTGTTGGTTGGCTATACAATGGCTATTCCTTCCACCTCTGCTTTCCCCCAGTACTGTCACCTCTCTCTGAGTAGTCATTCAAGGGAGGCCAAGGAGGAGAATCTTGATTGTTCCAAGACAAATGTCCTTGTCAAAGGATTGGTTTAGGTGTGGCCATGTAATGTAATCTTTCTGGCAAAAGATACTTGAGAAGATGAATGCTACAAGCTCTTCTGGTGAAGTGTTCTCTGGCTTATGAAAAGAAATACAAGGCTTTTTTTTTTTTTTTTTACCTTGGTATACTTTTTATTTCATGAGATACTTAGAATTGTAGTAGTGATGGTCCTGATAGAGCCAGTGAAGAAAATAGGCCAACCACCACACTGTTGCAGGGCAGAACATTGAACACACTCTTGGTCTCATTCGTGATGCTGAGCTACTACATTAAAACTCTGGAGCTGGGCTCGGCGCCTATAGCTCAACCGGCTAAGGCGTCAGCCACGTACACCTAAGGTGGCGGGTTCGAATCCCCAGCCCGGACCCGCCAAACAACAATGACGGCTGCAACCAAAAAATAGCCGGGCATTGTGGCGGGCGCCTGTGGTCCCAGCTACTTGGGAGGCGGAGGCAAGAGACTCGCTTGAGCCCAGGAGTTGGAGGTTGCTGTGAGCTGTAATGCCACGGCACTCTACCCAGTGGGACAGCTTGAGGCTCTGTCTCAAAAAAAAAAAAAAAACAAACAAACAAAAAAAAAACTCTGGAGCTGCCCAGATGCCAGGTGGGAAATTACTCTGATGCAAAGGTAGCCCCCAAGTATGCTACCAGGCAGAGGTAAGGGAACTGAAAGTTCCCACAGACAAAATTCAAACCCTCAAATCACATGGTTTGCTAAGTTAATTTAAAGCACACAGTGAGAAAAGGAATGAGATTGGTAGGTTAGCACCCTTGGGACAGGTGCCCACACCAGCTAATCCTGGGTGCCAGTGTTTATGGGTCTTGCTTCTTTCTCTGCTGTAGATGCCTTCCCTGCTGATGGTGTAGTTACAAGGAGCAGAGGGGAGGTTTGGGTAGGCCTCAGAGATAGCAGGTGCCCTGAGCTCATGACACCCACTTGTATCTGAAAGACACCAGCACAAATATGCCTGGTCAGTGGCTATGGAGTGCCATTTAGCTCAACAATCATTACGGTAATTCTCTTTGTGTTTCTTGGAGAACATAAGGGATCAGAATGAGTGTCAGCAGTTGTTCTTAACCAGGGCTGTTTTGTCCCCCCACTCCCCACCTGGTGTATATTTAGCAATGTCTGGAGAGGTTTTGGACTGTCATGACTGGTGCATCCTCCTGGAATCTAGCTGGTAGAAGCCAGGGATGCTACTAAACATGCCTCTGAGATAAGCATTATTTGGCTTAAAATGTCAATAGTGTCAAAGTTGGGAAACCCTGGTTATCAGGTGGTTGAATTAAGACCTCATGAATATTAAGCATTTATGCATATTTAGTGTATGCTGGATATTTTATAGTTAGTGTATCATGGGTATTTGTTACCCAGATGCCTCACAAATGTTAGGCATTTCTTGATCTTCTGTTCTTTTCTATCAATGTGTAACACATACCCAATGTCTTTATACTTTACATATGCTATGAATTCTGCACATGTCTAACAAAATTTTCCTTACTAGCTACTCTTATATATTTAAAACATCTTCAAAGGACTGAATATTCTCAAAAGCAAATTCACATAACACTAGCCCTGGAATTTCTAACAAGAAACAAGATGACAAATGTTCTGATTGTGTAAGCCATTTTATTTGTACTTTTCTTAACTTGGAGCTCAGCACATCCTAGCTGGTTCCCACATATTCTAAAGATAAGTAAAGGATGATCTTGGACTGTAATTATGAGTTTCCGAAACAGTAATGTAAACACCAGATACTACAGGATTACGTGTGTATGTAATGCTTGTTTTATTGTTCTGTTTACATTTCAAGCAGCCGTAGGCATAGTCCTATCATGGCAAACCTGTGTGCTCAGAAATTTCCTTTATTTTTTTATAATTGGAACAATTTTGGTTTGGTGACCTTCAGTGTACTTTAAAAAAGATTTTTTGTTGGCTCAACATCTATTAATAGAATAGCATTAGAAATTTATAGCTTCCTGTATTCTTTTTATTTATTAATGACAATTTTATTTATATCTTACTGCCTTAAAAGATTAAAGGCATTTTATGGAAGTTGTATCTTGAGGCACTACCATTGAAAGGGAGATTTTTTTCACACAAATGAAATTAAAGAGAAGCGTATTTAAGATTATAGAAACATCTAAAATTACATAAGAAGATTGTTGTGTAGAAGATATTTCAAAAGAAAATTGTTTTTAAATGATGGTATAGTCCTCATTTCTTTTAACTTCTTTGTCTTTTTTAAATTTTGTGTTAGGAACTAATATTTTGTCAGATAAAAACACATATTGAAATGATAAGGTATGGTAAACAACTGAAACTATTTGATAAAAAGCTAAAGTGGCTCGGTGCCTGTGGCTCAAGCGGCTAAGGCACCAGCCACAAACACCTAACGGTGGCGGGTTCGAGTCCCCAGCCTGGGCCTGCCAAACAACAATGATGGCTGCAACCAAAAAATGGCCAGGCGTTGTGGCGGGTGCCTGTAGTCCCAGCTACTTGGGAGGCTGAGGCAGGAGACTCCCTTGAGCCCAGAAGTTGGAGGTTGCTGTGAGCGTGATGCCATGGCACTCTACCCAGGGAGATAGCTTGAGGCTCCGTCTCAAAAAAAAAAAAAAAAAAAGCTAAAGTAAGAAAATTTAGCATAAGGGATCTTAAAAATAACTGTGTGCTTATGATAATTCCCTAAAACTGTTGGTTGGATCAGTGGAATCAACTCTACTAAATAGTGAGATGGCAGGTGGTGTATAGTCGGGTCAGCCTCATATCCTGTTTGAAATACTGCAGGTGCGGGTGAGAGAGAGAGAGAAAGAGAAAGAAAGAGACCTATAAGTGTTGATTTGAGGGTTAAAGAATCACTAAAGGAGAAATATGTAAAGTCATTTACATTTTCAGAGTCCCCCTTAACGTTCATTTCTTTTTGCTATTGCAGTGATTTGCTATCTTCTGAATATGTAGAGAGACATATTGAACATGGAGGCAAGATTGTGGAAGTTAAAGTAAGTGAAATTTTCCTATCTTTGGAGCAAATTTATTGAGAATCTTTTAGATACCATTGATTATGATTTTAATTTTCATGATACTTCTAACATACATTTTTGAGGATTTTAAAATAATATTTTATAATTAATGAAAGTTTATTACATACTTGTGAAAAAATAAACTTTGCTTTTAATTATTAGTAAAAGAATTTTTACTATTCTATAGGAATTGTTGGACTTATGTTTTGTAGGACTGATATAGCGGCAAATAGTTCTTTTTAGATTATGTCACAGAAAATACTTTCTGAAATTTGCTTTTAAGATTAGCACTGAGAACCAAGAGGTGGAGTCTTGGATCCATGTGTGGCTTTACATTTAGTTCTGAAAGTCTTTTCCCTGGTAAGATGTAGAATTATTAAATTTATAGGGAAATTTCAGGAGTTTAAAATACCTAGGGACAGCCTGGGTGTGATGATTTCTGCTTATTAACCCAGCACTTTGGGGAGGTTCACTTGAGACCAGAAGTTTGAGACTAGCCTGGGCCACATAGAAAGTCAAAATTGCTACACACACACCCAAATTTAGCAGGGCATCGTGGCGTGGCACCTGTAGTCATAACTACTAGGGCGGCTAAAGTGGAAGGACCATTTGAGTCTGGGAGTTCGAGGCCGCTGTGAACTATGATTGTGCTTCTGCATTCTAGCCTAGGAAACAGAGAAAAACAAAACAAAAACAGAAATCTGGAGACAGAAATTCCAGGATACTGGCCATGATAGGTAACCTCTGAAAAATACTAACATAGAAATAAAAGCGTCCTCCAGCTAGAGGCATAAGCATGTGTGTTTTATCTCAGTGTACTGATGCTGTAACTGGACAGCACATAAGATTGAAAGCTGCAAGTGGAGGGCTCCTTTTTGAGCAATGTTTAGTATACAGTGGTGAGTTTTGGCCAAATGTTTAAATTTTCTTCCAAACAGTGTTCAGACCAACTCTTCTAACCTAACTCATCTGAATTACAGTGCTACAGTCCTACTTGTTTCCTTTGTCTGATTGTCGATTTGATACATGCTCATTTTAGAAGACTTGAAAATGGAAAGGTGTAACAAAAGAGGAACAATAATCCTTACACTCATCTCAGAGAGTTAAACTTTGTTTTTATTTTGTTGTATTTCCTTTCATGTTTTTGTCCTCTATATATATTACATAGAATTATATATATATAAAATTGTATCTTGCTTATTTTTTAGTAAACATTGTATCATATTGTAAACATTTTCCCATAAAGCTTATGTTCATTGTTTACCTATTTAACCCATATTACTGCTCCAAAGAATTTTTACTCAAAGCTAACATCTATCAATAATCAAAATAAATTATATTGTCCCCTTCAAATGACAGCCTTAAGAGAACTGAGTTTTTTAATTATATATTAAGTAAAAAAAGAAAATTTTTATTATAGAAATTTCAAACATGTATAGAAGTAAAAAGAATACTATAATAAACCCTCTTCTACCTGTCACCTAGTATTGATAGTTGTCAACATTTTGAGGATCTTTTTCTTTTTACTCATGTATATGTCTAGTATTTTAAAGCAGATCCCAGACATTTGGACATTTTCTGATACATCCCTGTATATCTATATATCTCTCCCTGATACAGACTTAAAACAAAACTGTTTCTTTTAATAAGTGATACAGATAAAAAGAAATTGCCAGTCCCTCCAGAAAATTATTCCAAACATAAGATTGACTAATTGAATGGTTGATTGATTTATATTACCACTTTCCTGACAAAAAGGATATCAGGATCCTTCTAGCTATGACAACAGAAGCAATCATTTTGCTTACTATTGGGGGAAAAATTACCTAGACTTAGAATTTCCAGCTCCTTTTATTCTCATCCCTGTTTATTTGTTTCATTTCTCTATTTTGTATGATAATTTCTTCCGCATACGGAGTATCTTTTACTCCTGTGTTACGGTAAAGAAGAATGGAAATAGGCAGTTGACTGTCAGTGGTGGGATGGAGTTACGGGATGTAAACCCGAGTGTGGAGGGTGGATCAAGCAAACACAGATCCGCTGTCTCTGTAGTAACATCAGACAACTTGTGCTTAGTCTAAGGTGACCAGATTTAGACATTGGTAAAGCGGGACACCACTGGGGGGGCGGGGCCTGACAACAATGCAAACTTTGATAAGCTGTTCTCAATAATCAGTTCTCAACAATTATTTGTTATTATTGAAGTTTAACATTATAAAATTAACAAAAATAATATAAAATGCATATCCTGGCAAAATAGCCACATGGCAGCTGAAAACCGTATATTCCCTTCCTCTTCCCCGTGTTCCCTAGCTTGTCATGCATTCTTTCCAAAAATTGGTGCTTTTTTAAAACACCGCAGGATGCATGACAAATTGTTAAAAATTGGGACTGTACCACCAAAAGCGGGAAGTCTGGTCACCTTACTCTGGTGGGGGGCTACTTGTTTGTTCCAGACAGTTTGGCTCCTTCTGAGCTAATTGTCCTTACCTAGAAGCAAGAGAGGGAGCCCAGGAAGGGAGTAGGGAGTTTACATTAGCCTTTTCATTTCCAAATGAAGTTACGTTAAACTCTTCATTCCCAAATGGAGTTACATTAACCTTTTCAGCAGCCGAGTATATTCCCTTCCTATTCTCCCACTGTTCCTAGCTTGTCATGCATTCTTTCCAAAAATCAGGACTTTTTAAAAACACCGTGGAACACCGCGGGATGCAGGACAAATTGTTAAAAATCGGGACTGTCCCACCAAAAGCGGGACGTCTGGTCACCTTAACTTAGTCATCAAAGTGAACTCCACTCGTAGATAGTTACCTTCCATGGGTGTATATACAGCGAGCACTGGCTGTTGTACAATCTTTGCTGATTTTCCAACCTGAGAATTGCATTTCCTTGTTGACGATTTTCCTAATCCCGAAGCCTATCTGTTGGGGTGCCTAATGCAGCCCTACACAAACCCCCTCCTTCCTCTCCTCTTAAGACAAAGGAAACAGAGGATCTGGTTATCCCCCTCTCCTGAAGTTCCTGCCAAAGAACCCTAACTTTCTGGGTAAGCTATGGAATTTGCCCACCCCTTGCAGTCCCATATAAAAGGGATCTGTAACTGCCCCTGGGCACAGATGCCACCTTGCACTGCCCACGTGGGTCACCCTCCCCTTTCAGTAAGCCTGGTCTGAACATCTCTGCTCTGATCTCGTCTCTGGGTCCCACAGCTTACACCGCTCACTATCAAACTAGGGAAATGATAAATACAAACTCATTCAAACTCTAGGGCCAGAGGACATTTCTTTCATCTTTAAGAAAACCACTTTTATCTCACCTGTCACCCCCATTTGCTTCCAGTCCATTTAAAAAATCTAACTCAAAATTCCCTTCAGACTTTTTTCCAGGAACCATGTTGAAAGTGCTGAATCCCGCCCATCAATTGAAAGTCAGTGGCCTATTATTTTCTTGCTCTTCCCTCTTTTTTTTTTTTTTTTTTTTT